TAGCCAAGAAGTAACACCGACGCCTACCCCATCCTACTAACATAAAATTTAGGAATTTCTCAGTCAATCTGGCATGTCAAATCGCACCCTAATTGTCAAAAGCAGGGACATCCAGCCCACATAGTTCCCACCAAAGTAGGTCTAGCCTTTTTGCCCTTTGTAGTCAAAATACAAGACAAAGATACAATGGATCAAGATTCCCAAGAACAGGTGTAGGTCAGGAATGCCTAGGAATACAACTCGAAAACCTCAGAACAGCCCCACTTAATGCCAAACATGATGCTGGCTGTACAAGATACACAAGGATGTGTTTATTAGTTTACAACATGGAGAGTTTACAAAGTAAAATATGTAGTGAAATGGTGTGGTTGCCAACTAAGTGATCAGTATATGTGATGGAAAATACGGTGTGGGTGTGTGTGTGTGTGTGTGTGTGTGTGTGTGCGCGTTGCGGCGTGTGTGTGGTGTTGTTGTGTGTGTGAGAGAGAGAGAGGAGAGAGAGAGTGAATAAGTGTGTATGAAGAGACAGTGATCTTCACTTCTTCTTGAAAAGTCTGTGATTAGGGTCACAAAAATCCAGATACCTCACAAGATCAGACTCGATGGCATCAAAGAAAGGGCTGGAAAGTCCTCAGACCATGGTTGTCCTAAGTTCATTTTGGAGCGTTTAAGGTGTGAAAAGGACCTATCACCCTCGTCAGTGGTTAAGGCAGTGTGAGAAAAAGCCTGACGCAACAAAAACATTGGGGAATGTTGTCTGTATCCATGTTTAAGCACCAGCGCGTCCTGTTGCAGGAGTGTTATCTGGCCTCATGTGCTGACAAAAGCCTAAACTGGATCAGCTACTGGCCAGTCATGGCCACCTCGTGGCTCCACTGCGTTCGCGTCATCAAATACTCGTTCTTTTACCAACACGGTGAGTCTTGTGGGATAGCTGTGTCCATGCCGGTGACGGGCCTGGGCAGATGTCCTCAAGTCCCGAAATTGCCCTCGTAGTGATGCAACATAAGTGCGCAGCGATCCAAAATCCGCACAGCGGTCCATTAGGTCAATGTCCTTATCTTTTGCAGCCAGTGCTCGTAAGGTTGAATTGGTGCAAGTAAGTGCCCAAAATATTGCCAGCAGAGCAGTCTCGTAAGTTTCCCCGAGTTGCCACACAGCGCAGATGCCCTCATGCCCTGTGTTCCTGACGCCTTCGTCATCAGCGCCAACATATTGTAAGCCCTTTCATAATAACCTCATCAACCAACGGTGTTTCAGGACCGGTTCGGAGCTGGAAGACTTGAAAAGCACCGTGTTTTCTGTTCACACCGCAGCGGAGCAGCCTCTTAGCTCGCGGGAAATCCGGTTTGTTTCAGGCACCAAAAAATTGTCCCGCTAGAGCAAAAGCCCACATAACGTCACGCTTACATAGAGGCGGGGCAGGGCAGGGCGATCAACCCTGAACAAATCAAAAAGCCCGCGTTTTATCCATTTGTACATCAACAACTGGAGAAATTAACAAGTCAGCAGTGGCCAACTGAGAGACCAGCACTTGGGAATCTGGTCTTCCGAAGAGGTACCAGTACAGAGGAAGTGAGCACAAACACAAATGATAACAGTGAGGGATCCCGCGCGAACTTTAATGAAGCAGGCACACAAACGGTTACGTAATGAACAAACGATGAACGCAATGACGCAGCACCAGAAGACTCTGGGCAGTGTGAAAAGAGCTGGAGCTACACCGAAGAACCGGTTCTGAATCCTCCCACACACAAGGAGTTGGGTGGTGTGAATGAGGTATTTTTGCAGTGTAATTTCACAAAGAGCTCAGAAGGAGCTCTCCTCACAGCTTCTCTATAAACAAGAGAGATTTTAGCGTCAGTGTGACGTTTTCAGTGACACTATTCCATCGGTGGTAAGTCCAAAAAAAAGCATAAAGTGGTTCAATATATCAAAAAACTGGCTGCTTCACGAACTATTTTCAACACAGGTGAAACAAAACACAATTAAGGGAGTGTGACCTGCCACCGGAATGTAATGTATGAATAACTTTTCTTTGAGATGAGCTTGCAGCCCATTATATTTTCCTGACATGTTGGATGCGTTGTCATAAGCCTGGCCATGGCAGTTTGAGAGATCCAGCCCCATATCAATGGCCATCTTCATCACACAAAATGAAAAAAAAAAAAAAAGAAATAATAAAAAAAGATTTTTTTTAATTTATTTTTTCATCTTGTCACTGAGGGCCCTCTTTACTCAAGGGCCCCTGGGCACTTGCCCAGGTTGCCCATATGGTTAATCCGGCCTTGCCAGTGACGGTAACACCAGTGACAATTTGGAGAAAACGCTACCATTTTAACAAAATGGCTGCATATCAAAATCGTTTAACTCTTCAATACAATACATTTTCCCATTCCAATGTTCACCCCTAGGGCTAAGAAATTAGTAACACTAATGACAGACTTGAAAGACGCACATAAAATTTGAAGATAAAATGACACCATTAACAAACAAAGAAGTATCTGACTTTCCTTATGTCTTTGTCCACTGCACTGTCTCAAATTATCTCTTGTTACAGGAGGCACTTCAGAGACAGTACATTATTTAAAAAATAAAAGCGTTTTGTGTAGCAGTAACACCAATGACGTAATTTTGGTTGACTGACATTTATTTGATATTATTAATAATAATTTGCGTTTTTTTTTTACCATTTCAGTGTTATATTTAATGCTTGTAATGTTATGAAAATATAAATTAGATTTATTTATTATAAAAAAATCTTTTAAATTAAAACTATAGTCTCCACTTCCATGTATGACCAAAGTGACAATTAAGGCAGTTCCTTGAACTTGGCATTTTAAATAAATTGCAATTTATGTATAAAACCATTTTTTATTAATTTTTTATTTAGTACCATTGCAAAGACAATCTCTATTTATTCAACATATATAATGAATGTGAGTATTAGGTCAACGTCATGTATTTTGGTGTCTGCAAAAGTAAGTGACAGTATTTCCACCTTTTCTGTAGAATGACCCAGCTGTGTAATCTGTGGGTTCATGTTCACAGGGTTTCATGCAGCTAACAGTGAAACATATCATTTTTGTCATAGGCTATTGAAGAGGAGAATGTTTTCCGTCAACAAACTTAATTATTACGTGAAGAATGAGAATGTTCTGTAGCCTACTGTACAGCTTGAACCAAGATGAACAAAGCAAACACTGGTTATAAAAAAATAAAACAAAACGAAAGACTGCCTTTGGTCATTGTTCTATATCCGGTTCATTACACCATTACACCATCATAGCCTTTCCATCTATAAATGTGTTTGTGTGTGTACAGTACAACCTGCCTTCAGAGCAAGGAAATGAGCTACTGTAACACACTTGGAATAGTTTGTGTGCTACTGCCTGGTTGTCTTTTGGGATGCTTAAGATTAAATTACTGAATTTTGGTGTTGCAGTTCTTACATTCTGTCAAATCATGCTTCAAATCCTCTAAAACTTCAGACACCAGTAAAAGATATGTGAAGAGACTAATAAAGGTGCTCAGATATTCGTTGTGCCCATGGTGTTTCTCCCAGATTTAGTTAATAGGCCCTAATGGCACTGCTGCAGATCTTGTGGCAGCCTCCACAGATGGAGAGTGAGAGAAGTTTGGTTACATTTAACTGCATATAGGTCTATTGTGTCACAATCTAGATCAGTGAATGCATATGACAAGACTTTGTGGAAAAGTGTGTTCGGCAATCTTATATCGGCACGAGTCTCGCCAAACAGCACGTGCACCGGCACCTGCCTTGCCCCGCCCATTGCAGTGCACCTTCTCCTTTAAAACGTGCAGGAAACTGCGCTGCTGAACCAGCCACTTTGGCTCTAAACGCACAGCCTTGTCCTAATCAGCTCATGCTTTCTGGATCCAAAATGGCGCCCAGTTACCTCATCTGGCAACTTGCTCAGCTGTGAGGTCCCTGCAGAGGCGGCTGCCATGGCAACGTCAGTGACACCAAGTGGTTACGTAATGCTTTTAGTGTTTATGTTGTGGATGAGACGTAAAGCTGACGGTGCAGACTCTGCACATGGTCTCTTGATTTATGAGGCAGCTGTGGTGCAGAATTGATAACGCATTTTCGATGTGTGCGTCATAGAGAAAAAAAACAACCTCAAAGGCTAAAATCAATTGTGAACAACCTTCGTGTTTAATATTTATTATATCTGTTAAGAGATTGTCTTTATTCTACACCATGACCTCAGACAGTGTTTCAGGAGGGAGAGAAACATAGCAACTGATGGACCCAGTGTCCGTGGCTGCGTGCGTGTTTGTGTTTGGGAGGCGAGAGAGGGAGAAACAGAGAGACAGGGATGGGACGGTGCGGCGCGCGGGCAATCCAACTTGACTGAAGTTGGGACCGGAGCTCCATCCCCGCGTCCTTGCGGAGATGCGGCGGTCGTTGAATTACAGCAATTCAGATGGTGACTGCTAGAAAAGTTAAGATGACAGTACCGAAAGACATCCCGGAGAAATGGTTTCCACTCATTCTTCCCCTGAAAAGAAACAAACAAAAAGGACTTAATGGAGCCACGTCGAAAAAGAAGAGGACAGGTACAGTTTGTGTGAGAATTAAGGATGCGGGGTAATTGAGCTTGTTGATGTCAAAAAGTGTTCACTGTCGTCGTCATCAGGAGTTTGTTGCACATCTCAAAAATAAACATCATGTTTCACTCTCATCCCAACTGTGTCCAAGTGTCACTCCTGCTTCTTCATTTTACTCACTCCTTTTTATAAATAACTGTGTTTGTGTATGTGTGTGAACACTGTGGGCTACACCTCATCATATTACATGTCTGCATCAGACTTAATATACCATTCCACGTTGTTTTGCTGTTCCTGCAATCACAGAGGTTTTTCATTCTGTTAATTAGATATCAGCATCTGACATGAATAGCTAAACTGTAGCCTATACAATAGGGAAATAACAACAATGGACATTTTTCATACTTAAATTCAGTTGTTTGTCCTTTGTCCTAATATAAGAAGCTAGCCTGTTTAATGTGTCATCGCTCTATTTTAGCTGTTTGCCTGATGTTTGCTGCTGATTATGAATCTGTGCATGTGTACACAAAACTGAGTGCATATAAATCTGTATTTTGCATAAATAAGTAGGATGATGTCCTTCTGGTCTCGGTTGCCTGAGACACTGATCAATCTTCCAGGCGCCAGCCTCCGCTGTCACTGCACTGCCTCGTCTGTACTCCTTAGCTTAACTATCAGAAATCACAGTGGATGTACACCTTCATTTGACCTCCAGCCCACCAGTCTGTCACTGTTTCCCTCTGCATTGTTTCCAACAAATGATATCACTGTGTGTGTGTGTGTGTGTGTGTGTGTGTGTGTGTGTGTGTGTGTGTGTGTGTGTGTGTGTGTGTGTGTGTGTGTGTGTGTGTGTGTGTGTGTGTGTGTGTGTGTGTGTGTGTGTGTGTTTGCAAGTGTGTGTGTGTGTGTGTGTGTGCGTGTGTGTGTGTGTGTGTGCGTGTGTGTTTGCACGCGCATGTGCGTGAGAATTACTGCAGACAATTCTACCATCCCATCTTCTTCTAATTAAATCAGCCACATTGAGTGAGGATCCCTTCTGCACAGATTCTCATCCTGACTTTTAGTGATGTGAATGACAATAGCATTTCCTATAGCTCAGGCTGACTCTGCTCTTTGGTCATTATTCTTATGACTTCAGTCTGCGTTCACTGTGCAGTGAGTGTGTGTTGCTGCAGACACGAGGAGATTCTTGACATGTGTCCTCACATGTCCGGCCAGGGAGGGAAGAGTATTAAAGAGACAGGGATGATATAAAATGGATTTAGGAGTTAGCCAATCTGTGTGAAATATTGTGATAATAAGGCTTACTGTTTTACTCAATATTTATGGTAGTCGTTTATTAAAACCTTACGCTCTCAGCCGAGTAAGCCTGCAAACTGAACGTTTCTCAGTAATGGAGCTTTATAGATTTATACAGACTTGCTGTGTAGCATCTCGTCTGCGTCAGGGTTTCATATGCCCTTGGAGCTAGCAGAGACATTAAACACTTAATGGACAGTTTGCTAAAGATGCTCGTGCATTCAGTTAGGGGTGGTTAGCTTGCACAGCTGGGACAGACACCGCCTGGTCTGACATCAGCCTCAGTCTCTCTCTGCTTACCTAACATATGGCCTCTTCATGGAGGGTTAATGCAGCTTTTGCAGACTCTGCCTGTCAGGCAGAATCTCTCTGGTAAACACTTCCCACTGAAAGCACTGTTACGACCTTCAGGTAGATGGGAGGGCTGCCAGAGGGAAAAGAGGAGAAAAAGGATTGGAAGAATTTCAACAACAAGACATGGTGAAAGATGTTCATCTACCTAATCACACAAATGTGATAGTGTTATACCAACCAGAGTTTAAAAGAGAGGGAAAATCTAATAAAATCCGCCAAGAGTTGCATTTTTATTTTATTTACATTCACAGTCATAACAACTGTAGAATTCACTGTGACCAAACACTAACACTGTGATCGAGAATGTTGTGCACTCATTCTGTTGCACTTGTTGCAACATTACTCCTCTTAGGTATTAGCGGCCACTAATAACATCAAATGTAAATCAAAGGGAAATGCAAATCATTTGTATTTTTTAGCAATACTAAATACAATCCAATCCACTTTACACAATGTGTCCAAAAAGCAGTCAACTGGAGATCATCTTCTGCACCAAATCTGTTTTATAACCTGAAAGTGATACTGCATCTTTTTAAGTGGCCTGTGTTTGTTTTTTAGAAGAGACCCAGATAAAACAAGTCTTCACAGTGCTGCAGAAACACAGGAAACCACAGGGTCTTTGTTTATGTGTGCATGAGATTATGTTTTATGATGTCCCTTCCTGTATTGCCTCATTGCATCTCAGTCATCAGTCAAAGGAGTGTTTCGGAGCTACATACGTCTGTGCAGAACATATACTTCTGGCCTGAATTTTAAATCTGGATGTGTGTGTGTGTGGGCGTGCATGTGAACTATGTACAGCCCTGTGCAAAACAGGCCAGTCATTTCATTTAAAAAGCAGTCTCATCAATATTAGAGGAGACAGGCCTGGAAGAGGAGGAGGGGAACTCCCAAACTACCTTGCTTCAGCATAAAGAGAAACCTAAAAACAGCAAGAGGATAAAGAGCAGGGTCAAAAGGGGAGAAACATACATTTCCCTGGTGTATTTTTATTCTTTATAGATTTAAGTCATAATGCATGTAAAGCCTTATCTGTGACTACCTGGCATAGCTCCTGGTACTACTTTTAGCTCCTACAGATGTTCACAATCGTGATTACATTTTGCTTTTCTGTCCCAGATTGCACATTTAGTCATTAAGAGAAAGAGGCTGCAGATAATTGAAGATCAGATATAATTGGACAGAGTGAATGTGACTTACCCAATACTCAAACAACCTTCAGCAGACTACTCTAGCTACATTGATTTATAAATAAACACACACAAAGTGGATTGTCTCTTTCTCTGTTCTCTGGAGGATTTTAATGTTATTGACATTTTCGAAATTATTGCTGGTCCTTTTATGCGCGTTGACCAATGACTTTGACACACAGAGATGCAGTGGTTTGGGTGCTTTTCTGTAAAACTAAGTGGTGATATCATCGTTCATGCCTCATTATGTGTCTTGTGTTTCTGCAGAGGAGGAGAGAAAGGTCAGAGCCAATGACAGAGAGTACAACGAAAAGTTTCAGTACGCGGTGAGACAGCTTAATCCTGTCCATGTTCCAAAATATTGTCGAAAGATGAGAGACCATTTTGATGTAATTCAACTGAAATAATCTGAAATATAATTTTTCTATTTTTCCTCTCCTCATCCAGAGTAACTGTATTATGACATCAAAGTACAATATCGTCACCTTTCTGCCCGTCAACTTGTTTGAGCAGTTCCAGGAAGTAGCCAACACCTACTTCCTTTTCCTGCTCATACTGCAGGTGAGGAGAGGGGCTGACCAAGGGATGTAAAACAGGGATTTGAGCATGACACAGGAAGAGAGAAAAATAAAGTGCATGCTGAATTTTCAAAGGATGAAGAGTTACTGGCTTACATCTCTATACGACAAATATGTGTTTTATTGTGAGCATTAGCATGGTGAAAGAAAATACACGTCTAATGGCGTTGGAGACAACGTTGTAGTCAAGGTAATATCAAGTAGATAGTGAAGTAGCTGAAGTAGAAATACCCTATCAAATATGTTTGTGTCTTGTGAAATCACCTGCTCACTTGGAACAGTTAGGTGCACTCAGGTTCTTAGGCAGCTGAGCGTTCTGCTGTGTGGTTATGGTCCGATGTAGCTTTCTCTGAATCACACTGCCTCTGTGTCCCTTTTCTAACTAATCTGCTCCTCTCTGTCTCTGTCTAGTTAATACCTCAGATCTCCTCCCTCTCCTGGTTCACCACCATCGTGCCTTTAGCTCTGGTGCTGAGCATCACTGCAGTGAAGGATGCCACAGACGACTATGTGAGCTCACTTTTTATGCACCGAATACTCATGCAGTTTTGCTCATGACATTTCAGTGAATTAAAGTAGCATGACTCACATTGACTTTTGTCTCCTGAAGTTTCGTCACAAGAGCGACAGCCAAGTGAACAACCGTCAGTCTCAGGTCCTCATCCGTGGCTCGTGAGTCTCCTGTCCTGTCATTTGCACCTGAGCACTCACAAGAGCTTTGATTAAGTCTGCTTTTCAGATTCTTTCAAGGTTTCCTACTTTGCAACCATTGTTTAACATCTCTAACTTTATCTGTCTTTACTGTTTCTGTCTGTTTTGCTCTTACAGACTACAAAATGAAAAGTGGATGAACGTTAGAGTGGGTGATATCATTAAACTGGAAAACAACCAGTTTGTGGCAGTAAGTGTGTGATGTACATTTCCACAGACTAAACACTTAGGGATCACCTCTTGCAGGGCACATTTTAACTTTGTAATGAAACTACTTACTAACCTACTTCAGGGATCACCCTCAAACCGTCTCTGCCTGTTTTCATACTGTATTGTAAAGTGCTAAAATGCCTAATGGATTTCCGTACAGTGTTCCTTGCTAGGGGACGCTCCACGACATATGTTTGTTAGTTACCGTACTCACTTGTTTGCGTATGCTAATACTAATGTTGTTTTTGTGTCGTAAGTGCAGTGCAGTGGATTCTCAGCTTTTGTATCTATTTTCAGGCTGACCTGCTCCTGTTGTCTAGCAGCGAGCCTCACGGACTCTGTTACATCGAGACAGCCGAGCTGGACGGGTCAGAAAACACCCACACATTAAAATGACTCGCATCAACTCATAAACTGCAGAAAGAAAAAAAAGAAAGAAAGAAAACATAAATAAGACATTTTATTTAAATTGATTCAAAATGTAAAAATAATATTATTATGTCAGTAAATAGTACTGTAAGAAAATCTTTATTCGTCCCTCGAGGGGAAACTAAATTCAAAGAAGCAACATGACCCTACATCTAATTAACTGTGTGGTGTATTATCTTCCAGAGAGTCCAATATGAAGGTTCGTCAGTCGGTCTCAGTGACATCTGAACTTGGAGATCAGAACAACTTGGCTTCGTTTGACGGTGAGTTTCAAGAAAACTCATCCTCTTCTCTTGATTTCTGGTTTGGTTCATCTTCAGTTAAGGTAATATTTAGGTCAACAACACATTTCAGTGTTTGACACAAATGTCATCCCCCTTCTCACCCTCCGACAAAACAAAATGTACACACACACACACAGACACACACACACACACACACAATTCTCTACCCTGCCAGCATTGAACGACAGCCCATCACCCGCCCACTAGTCTCACACAACGAAATACTTTTGTGTCAGCAGCACAGTGCGCCCACACACACACTCCTCACCTGCTGCGGAAAATACATTACTGCAGCAAATCAACCCACACTGCCTCATATCAACTTTCAAAAGGTGTGCGTTTCGGCCTTCGATTGTGTGACAAAGGAATGATGTAATGAGGATGAAACATTCAACCTTATATCATACAGTTAGAAAAAAAAACCTTATAATGTAATTGGATTTTGTGGATATCTATAATGAAGCATCAGATTAGGATGTATCTGTGTTTGTGTTTAAAGGTGAGGTAGTGTGTGAGCCCCCCAACAACAAGCTGGATCGTTTCTGTGGGACTCTGTACTGGAGAGACAAGAAATACACCCTGTCCAACCAGAACATGCTGCTACGAGGATGTGTCCTCCGCAACACAGAGGCTTGCTACGGCCTCGTCATCTTTGCAGGTCTGTGTATTTTTGCGTTTGAATAAAGTATGTATATGATGTGTATAGCAGCTCTTAATTCCCCTGTTTTTCTCCCAGGCCCAGATACCAAGCTAATGCAGAACAGCGGTCGCACCAAGTTTAAGCGTACGAGCATCGATCGCCTGATGAACACTCTGGTCCTCTGGGTAAGACATCCCAAACCTCTCACTTTCCTCGCTCATAATATCACTAATTCAGGAAATGAGCTCAATGGCTTTACCTAGATTCATATATCTTCTCTAAGCCACCCTAACTTGGGTTCAACTGTCCAGAGATCAAAATGTAACACATCTGATTTGGACCCGTATGTACAATTTCTCCATCTGTGTGTTTCTGTCAGATCTTTGGCTTCCTGGTGTGTATGGGAGTGATCCTGGCTGTGGGTAACGCAGTGTGGGAGAGGGAGGTGGGCTTCTTGTTTCAGAGCTATCTGCCCTGGGACCCGCCTGTGGACAACTTCCTCTTCTCGGCCTTCCTCTCCTTCTGGTCCTACGTTATTATTCTCAACACCGTGGTGCCTATCTCTCTGTATGTCAGGTGAGGAGAAGTCCAAGACATACAGTTTGAAATGCAAGTGTGTATACAGTAGACACATATGAGACAAGACATATACAACATTCCTGCTTATATCAGACAGTAAGCTTTGTTGACACTGTTTGTACATGTGGCCTGCAGAGATTTCCTCTCAGGTAAGGGAGCTGACACCCTGAAAACTGTTTCCTCTGCTCACCAATTTACAAACAAGCTACTGTTGAACCCCTGAACCTTTGACCTAGAACACTTTGAGGTTGCGTGTGTGACTTACATAAACTACTAACTGATTTGTTCCCCCTATCTTTGTTGTCTAGGTGTAAGTGTTAGAGAACTTCACGTAGCCCTATGTTAGATTACTATTACTCAGTTGTTAATGTAACAGCGTCTCTTTCTCACCTGTCTGTCTATCAGTGTGGAGGTGATCAGGCTGGGTCACAGCTACTTCATTAACTGGGACCAGCAGATGTTCTGCTCACAGTGTAACACACCGGCTGAGGCCAGGACCACCACTCTGAATGAGGAGCTGGGCCAGGTACAGCAAAAACAGTCTATGTGTCATATTTATATTTCAAGCATGTTCATTTATCGTCTATTATGTATATCAATCCATCCTACATTGGCCCTACTTTCCTTTGCTGATGATGCTTAGTTTTCATCTTGTATTCTATTGAATTTGAATTCTGAAAGAATGGTAGAATTAGGTAAGAAATGAAATACACCTGCAAACTGAAAGCTGTCTAAATTCAGAGATGAGGATGATACAGATATTGATTTGAATAATGTATTGCCCTCTAGGGCTATGGTGCTTACAGTATAAACTTTATTAACTGCTATTTCTTGAACTTCGACAAAATCAATTACTTTGTCTATGTCGATTTAGATCATGTGTTCACATTTAATTTACTTTCATTAGGTTGAATACATCTTCAGCGACAAAACAGGAACTCTCACTCAGAACATCATGAGCTTCAATAAGTGCTCCATCAACGGACAGACTTATGGTAACTGCACACACACACACACCACACTCACCAAACCACGTATTGCAAATGAGGCCTTTAAACTAAATAGCCACTTTATTACATACACATATACTCCACTCCATACACACTCCATTCAATACAACTGTAAAACAATCTATTTTAATATGTTCGTTTTGTTTTTTTGACTACATAAATTGTATAATAGGCTTTTTGCTAAGGTCACATGTAAAGCTGGTGTTGAACCGGGCTATATTGTATTCTGAACAATGTGTATGTGTGTGTGTGTGTGTGTGTGTGTGTGTGTGTGTGTGTGTGTGTGTGTGTGTGTGTGTGTGTGTGTGTGTGTGTGTTACTATCAGGTGAAGGGTCAGACCCATTGGGACCTCAGCCAAAGGTAAGAATACTTATTTTGTTCTAAGTCAACACACACACACACACACACACACACACACACACACACACACACACACACACACACACACACACACACACACACTTATACACTTATTATCAGAGTCCCTGTCTCACCGTTTAATTTCAGAGATTGGACTTCACTCCCTTCAACCCCCTGGCAGACCCGGATTTCTGTTTCTATGACGACACCCTGCTGGAGGCAGTGAAAGTGGGCGACACACACACTCACAAGTTTTTCCGCCTGCTCTCCCTCTGTCACACCGTCATGAGCGAGGAGAAGAGCGAGGGTGAGCAAGGGCAGGGGAGAGGGGATTCTGGGAGGTCAAATAGCAGCAAGCAGGTCACACCCTCTGTCCATCTGTACTCTATTTATTGCCCATTATTTACCATCTTTTATCTGTATACCCAGGAGAGCTGCTCTATAAGGCTCAGTCTCCAGATGAGGGCGCTCTAGTGACGGCAGCAAGAAACTTCGGCTTTGTGTTTCGCTCCCGAACACCTGGGACTATAACCACCACGGAGATGGGACGATCCGTGACCTACACCCTGCTCGCCATACTGGACTTCAACAACATACGCAAGAGGATGTCTGTTATAGGTGTGTGTCTTTTTCAGTTTGAAAATTACAAATAAACCGGTAAACTATTATTCATATTTTCCCTATATTTTTGGGGACTTTTAATCTGTCATTAGGCCACGTTACTTACTTCAGTCTGCTGTGATCAATATCTTGCTGCAGCAGAAATAAAAGTGTTGCATTTACAGGGACATTTAAATTACGATCCACACTCCTACAAACTGACACGATATAGGCTATTAGTCATGTTTACATTTTATCCGTCAGTGAGATTTCACTGTGTGTTCCTGTGATTAGTATTCCTGTAAGGTGCTGGAAAGCTGCCCAGAAATAACTGGTCATAAATCACCTTGCTTTCACACAAATGTGGTCAAGCAAAAGAGCGGCAAGGACCACCAGGCACACGTTCATACATCTCTGCCACAGACTGCGTTCTGTTTATCTCCCACTATCCACAGGAACGACATTTGTTAAAGCTCAGAAAGAGGAGATTGTTATTTGAAGGTAATGTTGGAGGTGTATAGATTTCTTTAAGTATGTTGTCTTCCCTACTTTTATTATTTTCAGTGCGTAACCCAGAGGGCAGAATATGTCTGTACTGTAAAGGAGCTGACACTGTGCTGCTGGAGAGACTCCACCCCTGCAACCAGGAACTGATGAACATCACCTCGGACCACCTCAATGTGAGTAAACACATATCACATTATCTCCTGGGTGGATGGAGCTGTACTGCCACCTAGTGCCTCCAAACTTGAAAACAGCTATGAATGTCCAAGCCTTAACTCATACTCTACTTTTCCTGATAGATAGATAGATACAGTAGGTACTTTATTAATCCCAATTTGGGAATTGTTGGCGTAATAAGGCAATGTATCACCTTGATATGTGAGAGACATGGCAGACCATCGCCCTCAAGGTTTCCATTGTTTCTCCTTGTGTCAGAATGTTCGTATATTTAGTGACATGTCTGTGTAAATGTGTTTTGCTATAGGAGTATGCGGCAGATGGTTTGCGGACGTTGGCTCTGGCCTACAGAGACCTGTCAGAGGACGAGTGGGAGGCGTGGTCAGAGAGACACCGCAGCGCTGCTAAGGCTGCCAACTGCAGAGAGGACAGACTGGCAGCCACATATGAGCAGATAGAGCAAGACATGGTGGTTAGTGACTTGTGCTGAGAGTGTGCATTTGACAGTATTGTTAATTTGGATTGTGATAACCATGGCGGCAACTATTCCTGGGATACATTTAAGGCTAACATCACAAGGCTAACAACATCTCATATTTTTCTACAGTGCTTTTTAGTCCATTCCTCATCATTTCTCCTCAGCCATATTCCTATTCCTTCAAATTACATTTGAGCATGTCTTTACAAATACCTCACAAAGTATTTACGAGCATTTATTTATTTTTTCAACCCATTAGATGCACTTTTTGATGCACACCAAGAGTCGTTTTGACGTCTTTTCATGGGTCAACACATGGTGTGTGTGTGTGTGTGTGTGTGTGTGTGTGTGTGTGTGTGTGCGTGTGTGTGTGTGTGTGTCTGAATTTAAGTTTCTTTTTGTGGAACATTAAGCCATTTCTTCATACGCAAAAATTCTTCCTTCCTTCTGCAAACTAAAATTAATATGGTAAATCAAAAAAGGGAACTTTAGGTTTCGTTGGTTGTATCGTTCAGACATATTTGAATAGGGGAATTTCTTTACTGTGGATTAAAAAAAAAACACTGTCAGATCTCAGATTAAGTTTCATACTTTCCTGCTTGAATAAGAATTGAAATGTACATGTATATCTGTTTGTCTAGCTCCTTGGTGCCACAGCTATAGAGGACAAGCTGCAGGAAGGCGTCCCAGAGACCATCGCTGTCCTCTCCCTGGCTAACATTAAGATCTGGATTCTCACTGGAGACAAGCAGGGTGAGACTCACACACATTTACACACATTTCAGATCTGAGTTTGCACAGAGTTCTTTAAAAGCACCATCATTTGCAAATAACCAAACAAAATGTTACATTTCACCATAAGTCCAGGGGCTGTGAAGAGTAACATTAAAAAACAAAACAGGTTTTTACGTGTTTTGTGTAATGGATGTCCAAACTGTCCCCCATTAAGAAGTCGAAAAGTGATGTCAGGACTGCTTTCCTTTCACATATGAGTAAATGTTCTGCCAGACCTCCAGCTGATTACAACTTGTAGTCACCGATCACAAGCCAATGATCAACGAGGTCCGGTTCATGTGCCACAATTATGTAATTGATTTGAGGAGGCACATGCAAGAGCATAATAGACTGTCAAAAAACTGTGAAATTATTTATTTTCCTCACATATGACTGAAGACATAACGATGTTCAACTCAACTTTTGATCCACACGAGCGAGCATTTGGCTCCTGTTCTCTTTGAATGGATGGATACAAAACACATTTTCCTGTAGAGAGAAAACTCACAGAGAAACTGATTTGCTTTTTTTTTTTAAACCTTGCCACCTGCAGGGAGGACCTCTCAAATTAGAGCTACTTAAACCTAGGCCACATTTCCAACAAAGGCATTATAAAATGAAATTGAATCTATATGTTGAACAGATGAGAGAGTTGCATGTTCTTCTCAGCTTAAATACCAACATTGACTGAAGGATTTTCAATGGAAGTGGAGAAAAAAGATGAATGTTTACTATAAATATTTAACCAAATGGTTTACTCTCCCTTTCGCTCACATAGAGACGGCTGTCAACATAGGTTACTCCTGCAAGATGCTGACAGATGACATGACTGAGGTGTTCATCATCAGTGGACACACCGTCCAGAGCGTACGACAGGACCTCAGGTCAGTCTGTCTTTTACCCTGCATTGTAGGATACACAATAAACTGAAGTATACAAAATGCATTTATATTCATGTTTATAGTGTGTGTGGAAGCACAGTGTTTCAACTACTGTACAAGAGTTACTGAGAAATATCCAGCTCTTTACCCTAGCGATAAAATAGACACTATACAGTTCAATCAAGACAATAAAGTATCTAAAAGCACAGCCAAACAAATGAACTAAATACGCCAAAAAGGGCCTTTTCAGTAAGTTCAAAATATATTGTTGTTAATAGTTCTTTCTAACAATAACTAAAACATCAACCATTTCTGGTGCTAAACCGGCATAGGCATGTCAAAGATTTGGCCCTGTAAATGCAATTGTTCAGGCCACTGCTACAATATCCACACTCCAGCCTCCTGTAACATTTAACTCATGAACTCAGTGACTGATACTGACTGTCTTCCTCTCCAGGAGGGCGAGGGATAGGATGATCGAGATGTCAAGAACCAGAGATGGAAAAGAGGAGGGGGTGGAGGGATGTTTCATGGGTAACGGTTTCAGAGAAGGACAAGGCGATAGTAGGGGAGGAGAGAAACAGCTGCAGTGCCCTCCTCCTCCTCCTCCTCCCTCTAACCTCATGGACAACATCTCTGGAGAATTTGCCCTCGTAATCAACGGCCACAGTCTGGTATAAAAAACAACCACCGCCACCTTCACATTAAAAAAAAGCAGATGCCATTAAAGTTAAACTGTCAGCTGTGAGAAAATAATAATTTGCCTGAACTGTGTTTTTTGATCAACAACAAATATTTCCCCTACAACTATACAACTCTAAACCCTTAACATTTACCCTTAAACTTCTCATTTGTATCTGCTGTTCTTTTATAGGCCCACGCACTAGAAGCAGACATGGAGACGGAGTTTGTGTCGACGGCGTGTGCGTGCAAAGCCGTGATCTGCTGCAGAGTCACCCCGCTGCAAAAAGCTCAAGTGGTGGAGATGATCAAGAAACACAAGAAAGCCGTGACCCTGGCTATAGGAGACGGGGCTAACGATGTTAGCATGATCAAAAGTGAGTTGTGAAGATGTGTATTAGAGGAGGAAGTGTTTGTTGATGATTTTTGAGACGGAGAGGAAAGAGAGAAGTTGAGCCACATTGGTGCGTGACTACCTTTATGCAATGGAAATTCTCATCAGAAGGGCAGAAGAAGTTGTTTGTTTACATCGTGTTACTAGTAGTCGAGAAAGGTTGTGTGGAAATGTCTCTTGCAGTAAGTGTGATTTCCTCATCAAAATATGAACAGATATTTTGTGTCGTCAATTTCGTGAGTGTCAACCTAAACTCAACTTATTTGAAGGTTGGCCACTCATTTATGTCTGCAGACAAACATTGTTGAAATCTGAGTGGAAATTCCAAACATACCAGATGTCAGACTGAACTTTGGGAACATTTGTATACAATGTTAAAAGAAATGTATTAAAAAAATGTAAATGTTATGTAATCGTTAAAACAAAAACATGAAGTCTTGTGTTTTAATATTTCACTCTGTGCATATTGAAAATTGCTTTCATTAATACTGTAGTTGCAACAGTGTGAAACAGAATGACATTAAGAGTTGTTTTTTTTACGTTAAGGGAAAACGGAGAGGTTTGGTTAAGCCAATAGCCCAATGTTCCGTTTATTTTAATATGTGTGTAATAGTAAGTGTTTTGTAAGTGTTGCATCACCTTGTGGGTTTGTATGTGAATGTACGTCATTTGAACATGTTTTTTTTCCTGAGGCATTTGATTTTATATTTACATCTTTTAAAGAAGGAACAATTTGTTCTTAAGGCCAAACATTACATTTAAGCTTACCTTTCTCCCTCTTTGTCTGTGTGCCTCTCTCTTCCCGCTCCTCCAGGTGCTCACATAGGAGTTGGTATCTCAGGTCAGGAGGGGATCCAGGCGGTGCTGGCCAGTGACTACTCCTTCTCTCAGTTCAGATTCCTGCAGCGCCTCCTGTTGGTGCACGGCCGCTGGTCCTACCTGCGCATGTGCCGTTTCCTCTGCTACTTCTTCTACAAGAACTTTGCCTTCACCATGGTGCACTTCTGGTTTGGCTTCTACTGTGGCTTCTCGGCACAGGTCAGAGGATAGAGCTTGTGAGACTACTCAAGGACATTGATCAGGGGTTAGAAAAGGGTAATCACTTTCAATGTGTTTATGTGCATCTCCTCTATCTTTTAGACGGTGTACGATCAGTACTTCATCACTCTCTACAACATTGTCTACACCTCCCTCCCTGTGCTGGCCATGGGGATATTTGACCAGGTCTGTTCAAGCATAGTCAATGTGCATAATTTGTTCTTACTTTAAATAGAAGAAGAAGTCCAATAAATAACTATTGGGAACTAGGTCACAAAAAAAAGACGATTATGTTTATGTCTGTAGTTATGACCACAACATAGCAGGCTTGACTTGTTTCAGTAATTGCAGCTCCTCAATTCCTCTCCTCTTGTAGGACGTTCCCGACCAGAGGAGTCTGGAGTATCCTAAATTGTACGAGCCCGGACAGCTCAACCTCCTCTTCAACAAGAGAGAGTTCTTCATCTGCATCGCCCAGGGCATCTACACCTCAGTGGTGCTGTTTCTTCATCCCCTGTGCCATCCTGTCCGACGCCACTCAAAGCACAGGTGTGCCCCTTGCTGACTACCAGACCTTTGCGGTCACCACGGCAACAGCCCTGGTCATTGTGGTCAGCGTTCAGGTGAGAAGGTGTTAGATTTCCTCAAAGCTACCAAAGTGAACGGTCTGTTCCGTGTTGGAGCATTAACCGGCCTGTTCCTCTGTTTGTGTAGATCGCTCTGGACACAGGCTTCTGGACTGTTATCAACCATGTGTTTGTGTGGGGCTCACTGGGCTTATACTTCTCCATCATGCTCGCTCTGCAAAGCCAGACCCTCTTCGGGATCTTTCCCAACCAGTTCCACTTTGTAGGTTGGTGTCCTGTTGTCTTTAATTGTCGGTTACACACACAACGGCCTGACCAATATAATACAGCAATTTCAAATCAATATTTTTGTATCACATTTCTCAATTGTAGTAGTAATGTTATCATAATGTCAAGAATTGCAAGTTCTGACCCAGGCACAGGCAATAATTCACTAAACAAAACAAAACTTACAGTCCAAATTAGGCAAATGGTCCAAAAAAGGTCCAGCAGGTAGGTGATAGGTAAATCCAAATGTTAACCAAAGCAACACACTGGATCAATACTGGATCAAAGACCTCAAACGATTTAAACTAAAAGCAAAGAAACAGGAGAAACAATGAGAAGGGAGCCTAAGACTAAACACACAAGGAATGAAGGGAACTGGTGACAGCAGAACCAATGAGGAAGAGGTGAAACAATCAGGGATAAGCCAACAATCACACAGGCGGGAAAAGGAGCCATGACATATGAGGAGAGTGAGTAAAATAACCCAGTGAAAAAATAACAGACAAAAGAGCCAAGGAGCATGACAAGATAGCACTGAGGAGGATGTTGTCAAAGTGACAGTTAACCTGTATCATCCAAAAAAGTATATGACTAATTATAAAGATGAAACCAGGAAAAGATCAATAGGGTCAAATAAACATACAATTCTATTAAACATGTAGGCACCTGTTTGTATAAATGAAGGATATCTAAGTCATGTCCTGTGGTGCTGAAACAATTATACACCAGTGAGTTCATTATGTAAAGATGTCTAATATATGTGTGCTTGCAGTGTTTGGGAAATGCTGTAAAATCCTGAGACATATTTGCTCATGTTTGTTTATGTGTTTGTGAGTGCAGGTAGTGCCCAGAGCACGTTGTTGCAACCAGTCGTGTGGTTAACCATTGCGCTGGCGACAGCAATATGCATAGTTCCAGTTTTGGCATTCCGCTTCCTTAAGGTGGATCTCAAACCTCAGCTCTCAGACACGGTGAGAAAATACACACAAAAACAAAGTTTCTGATGTGTCCATCTTATTCGTTGGAACATGTGTCAGTGTTGCATCATCCCTACAGGTCAGTTTAAAACAAGCCAATGATTAACTTCTCTCGTACAAACAGTTCATCTGACTGTGTGTGTAATGATGAGTTCATTCTTACCGTCCTTAAATACTCTGTAAATATTGACTAAATTAGCGTACCCCAGTTACACCAATGACTTAGTCTTACTTGATAAGCTCATGGTGCTTTCAACCAGAGCTGCTGGTGGTGTGAAGAAGACCCTTTTTTGATTATTTTTTTTGTCACTATTGCTTGTGTCTGTCCTGGATATAAATTAAAGTTGTAAAGTACAAACAGGTTTGAGTATGGACTAGATTAACGATCAGGTGGAGAAGAAAGAATAGAAGAATGAAGCAACCTAAAGTAACAATTTGCCATTTGCTTAGCTTGGTACAAAGGCTGAAAACAGAATCAAACTGCCTAATTAAATAAAAAGAAATCTCCTCTGCTCCATCTCCAGGTGCGCTACACTCAGCTGGTGCGGCAGAAGAAGAGAAAGCCGGCAGGTCGCAGTGTGGGCGGAGCCTGGCGGGGGGTGGGCAGTGTGTCGGAGGGCCGTCTGGGTGCCCGAGGCAGCTCCAGGAGGTCGGGCTACGCCTTTGCCCACACGGAAGGATTTGGAGAGCTGATCACCTCAGGGAAGAACATGAGGCTCTCCTCTCTGGCCATGGCCACCTTCGCCTCCAGACACAGCTCCAGCTGGATCGACACGCTGCGCCGGAAGAAACATTCTCACACTAACACCCCCCCCAGCGCCTCGGGGGAGAGCAGCCCAGCACCCAGCTGTGTCTCTGGGTCCATCCCGCCGCTCTCTAACTCCTCGTCTGTTCTGTGTGGCTCACAAGATGCACCCATAGAGGAGGAGACAGGAGCAGCCCCCGACACACAGACTGCCTCCACCTCATCCACACAGAACCCACCAGCTCCAGCACCAGCTTCAGAAGCAGCTGATGGTTCAGCCCAGACCCTCAATGCTGGAGTCCTCACCCCCGCAGCATTGAGATCCCAGGGGGGAGACTCATCTGGAGGCTGGACGATAAGTCTGGGTGCCGTGCAGGTAAACTGCTGTTACTTCATGTATCACTGACAAAAAATGAAACCGGTACAACAAATCTTACACAATTAACACAACTGTCCCTCTCTCCTACAGGAAGCTCTGTTGAGATGGAAGGGTCGAGCCTCTGCATCCAACAGCCCGGTGAAACTAGCAGAATAAATGGAGTAAAATCATGTCCACTGCTATCCATCACATGTTTACACACACATACAGGATGTGTGTGTTTTCCTGGAGATACTGATAAAAAAGCTCCCCACTCAGTGTTCTCCTTTCCCAACTAAGGCTTCTACAATAAATCAATTAAATCCATAGGAACAGGTGGCACAATGTAGCAACATGGACATTGTCCTACTATGAATTGATGATGATATACATGTTCCAATGATAACTGTGTTAATGAATGACTACAAGATCAAGGTATTTAAAGAATTAGACTGAAGGAAAGCAGCAGATGCGATAACAGATTACTATTAAGGATCTAAAAGATTGTTTCCACTTGTTATTTCAAGTTTAGCCTCACTCACAAACAAGTCACGCAGAATCTTTTTTAATCAGCAATGCGTAGAATGAAGGAGCAGAACAATAAGACTTTCAATCAGCAAAGCAATATTAGAACTGTTTTTTTTAAAAAGCTTTACGTTCACTATAGTTCTCAGTGAGAACGGTACTTTACGTTACTCTTTTCTCCTATGTATCTGTTTTTTTACTTGACATACCCCTACTTCACATGTTTTCCTTCCTTTTTTTGCATCATATTGATGTGTTTTATAATGGCCTAGTTGACCTTTAAGAAAGCCAAAGCGTTTCATTTGTCAGACAAAGGGCCAGTTCATGTTAACCTCTGATGTAAATGTATTTCACCACCCTAGAAAGAACAAACTACCACTTGCTTACTGTAGGCATTAACAGACATCTAAACGTAATTTGTCAAACATTGTACACTTAAGTATAGTGTTGCAAAATGTTTATCTATCCGCAAATAAAGGGAATGTGTTTTGGGATAATGATGCCTTAACAATGTCAACATTTTGGTCGTTTAAACTCTTTCTGTTTCCTGATCCATAAAACAAGTACGACATCCCATCTGTGTTGCAAATGTTCCTGTCAATCACTGACCCCTGTCCATGACTGGGGTGAGATCAGGCGCGTCGCCTGGGCTTTTTTCTTTAGTCCCGGACAATTCTCCCTCAATAATATAATACATTAACCGTGCTTTACCTGAACCTCATCATGACACTAGAAAGGACGGCAGGATTGTAATTTTCCATGTTCAGTGAATGCAACAGAGACAAGACACCAGACCAATCACCAGAGAGTTGCATGGAAATAAACATCTGTCTTATTGGCTGACAGGTACCTATCCTGTGACAATGTTTAAACTGTCAGTCGGACTCTGAGTTTTTAAAGATGGACATAAGAAAAACATTTCTTAAAAAAGACGACAATTCTCAAGTGGTGGCTCACACAACAAACCCAGAGCCACCACTTGAGCCAGGTAAACAAGGTAATGTCAGTAAACTTCCAAGTTACGTGAACATGTGCAAAGCATAAATTACAGCTAGGTTGACGTTACTTTGAATCGCGGGGGTAAGCTAAACCGTTAGCAAGTAGCTATAGCTAGCCAGATATATTAAATAAACACTTTGTCATACAATATAAATGTTATGTTTTTTAGCGTTACCTGGTGATTTCAAAGAAAGCTCTCTGGAAAATGTTGACTTACTGTTCAACATGAAGCTATAAGCTACCTAATACACAGTCACAGGGGAGTGATTTGTAAAATATCCATAAAGAAAAAGAAAATTTGTTTACAGTTCTGTTTCATATGGGTGTTGAAAGATGTATGCATATCTTAATTTTGCTCTCAAAGGGCACCAGATTGATGCTTTTAACTTCCCGGGGGAGCATGCCCCTGGACCCCCCTAGAGGAGGTGAGGCCCCCCCTAGAGGAAGCGAGGCCCCCTCTAGAGGAGGTGAGGACCCCCCTAGAGGAGGTTACTCCTGTTTACACATATGCCGTGAGCTGATTATCGAGCCTTCATTGTAACAGTCGCGGGTGCACTGTATGTGCATGTGGGGAGTGTTGCAGTAGAAATGTCCACTGTAGCGCCCGGTACCTCAATGTAGCGTACCTTAATGAACTGTGGGCTAAACCCTGAATGTTTCCAGGTCCAGGAAACGCCCCTGGGTGAGATTATAAGTAAAGTAACCATATGAACAATGTGAACTTGTGCCAGGATTTGTACCTACACTACAGTCTTCGATAAATCATCTCCTTAGTGTAAATACAACAGAATGCAAACATGATCTGCAAAACGAAGGCCAGAAATGAATGTGCTGAACAGTATTTGGCCCAATGGATTGTCAAAGCACGGGTCAGCTATTGAAAGGTGGTCAATGTCAGCTCTCTTTCAAATAAGAGGAACCAACTGTGTCCATGCAAATGTTTTTTAAAGAAGAAATCAAAGTGCAAGAAAGAAATGACTACCTCTGGTGTGACACCAAAATAACTTGTAATTTGAGATTATTTTCAACAACAGAAGTTTAACCACATCAAAATGTATTTAATTTAACTCAAAGTAAACTATCACTGGTGGAGGGGACATTTTAAATTGAAATAAATAAAAAAAATGCAACATTTTCATGACTGTAAAAAACGTAAACAATATAGTCTGTTGATTAAAATTAGAAGAAAGTGTTTTATAAAAAAAGAATTTAAAAAAAAACACTGATTACCACTTGAGTATGAATATTATAATAGCAGGGCTATATTCAGCTTTCATTGGGGTTTTATTTTTGACACTCAGGAGGATTTCCTCTGTGCAACAGGCTGAACAAGGGGAAGAGAGCTGGGATTTCACAATAACGGATCTTACTGACAGCGGACTGCTGAAACCAGAGGCGGCCGGTAACTGCTTTGAGAAGCCAGAGGAGGACCGTCAGATGTTGATCTTGTGAAGTTAGATGGGAGTCACAACGGTCTCCGATGCTTGTGAGTGATGGTGTGAGGACTCGGTGAAGGGAGACTTGTGCGCAAAAATGCGGATTTTTCTCCCTTTACTGTGTGCCCTGTGCGCCACACCGGTCCACGGTATTTTCGACGGGACCTGTCCCAAAAAAGGTAAGCTACCAGATTTAATTTATACAGCCAAAAAAACATGTTGTACGGTATCGGTGGGACGTCAAAAACAGTGTGGTAAATACTTTGAAAAGTGGAACATTTTACTAACTCACTAACTAACCTTTTTAGTGTTGAAAACAATGTTTGTGTGTTTTTTTTTGCTAACATCAATGTAACCCACAGGAGCTCTTGAGACTGTCATTATGTGTTGATTTGATTTTGATAAAATTAGACAGATTAAACTGAACTCTGTAGCAGCCTGCTTTGATTTCGCTTGAGCATAAAATGCAGATTAGCAAAAGTTTTATTTATTTGACAGGTCGATTTCAGATCACAGAACATGAACATATTTATAAATCATTCAATCTACACTACTCTTCCTTGTTTTAGACTTATTAATACGTTTTAGTTTTCTTCAGAAGTTTTTTTTTCTAAATTCAGGGAATAACTCTATTAGCAGCATGTACCAATAATTGTGCTGCCAACACTCTGCACACCTACCTGCACTATAAATGTGCTTTCACAACCTTGGTTGTGTTTGTTAAGCTGCACTCAAACTGGGGGAAGGAGGGGAGTTGGTTTTCCTTTTTTTAAACATATCTTCGAAATATATCAATCTAAACACTGCTCATACATTAGTGAATTTGCTTTTCTGCCTTGTCTGTATAGCTTCTATTCTAAAATATCTGATTTACAGGCAAAAGGCAAACAAATCAGAGTAAAGGACAAGAGTGTGTGTGTACTAAAAGGGCAATGAACTACTCTCGTATTTGTGTTATGTCCCCACTAAGGTCTTGGGGACCTGGAGACAATAACACACTACAACCAATAAAAATGTGGGAGTCAGCGTAAAGGTTGACAAAAGGTTTATTTCTTGTAACCCTTGAACTGAACAGAAATTGAACAGAAATACTCTGTGTGTGAGGAGGAGGAGGAGTCAAAGGAGATTGTGCCAAACAAAAGAACCAAGGATAAGAAAACCAGGCCTATCTCTACATCTATCCTTTGAAACCAAAACTCAAACAAAAACCCTCAATAACTGAACTACTCAGAATTGGACAAAACAGAATACAGGGGTGGCAACAATCCGCTAACCTAGTGTGTCTTAACATTAGTTACCTACGTGATGAGAAATGTACAGGGTACCCCAGACTTACCTAACTCCTCCACCTCTCAACACACACACTTTCACAAAGGTCAGAGAAAACAAAGAGAATGAGTTGCTAAACACTGCAGTCGAGTTCAATCTGGAGGCTTTACACACACAGATACAGCATAGCCTTTCTGAAGGAGCAAATGACTGAGTTTGAGAGCAATCACAAAATCTGCATAATTAGGGGATGTCAGAGATGTAAATGTGAGATATGACCCGATACATGATCAGGAACAGAAAAAGAAACCATAAAGAAAAGACACTTTAAAAGAGGAAGTTCAAAAGGAGTTGTTAGTTTTGGTTATGCAACAATGCATCATATCTTTGCTGTGCCGACCAATACTCATGGCAGATATGTGCAAAAGATTAAGGAAGCCCTGAGAGGCAATTAAGTAGAAATCTGCAAATCTATTTTTAAGACAGATCAAAATGATTTTCTCTTCTTTGAAAGAAGAGAAAATCATTTTGATCTGTCTTAAAAATAGATTTGCAGATTTCTACTTAATTGCCTCTCAGGGCTTCCTTAATCTTTTGCACATATCTGCCNTTCATTACAGGGCACCTTATGCTCACATGTGCAACCCTTTATAAGTATTTATATTTAAACTTGTATATTTTCCACATGTGTATATATTTTTTATATTTGATAAACTAAACCTTAACTTTTTTTTATTGTTTCTATTTCTGAAATATTTTGGACTGTTTATTTCTTGTGTCTTAATTTCTCTTATCGCCTTGTGTTTTTTATGCTGCTGCAACGCAAACATTTCCCATTATCTATCTATCTATCTATCTATCTATCTATCTATCTATCTAAGTATACATATGCAATATGCATGCATGAATTTGTGTTTGTTTGTGTGCCTTAACTATTTGACAGTGCCCCTGTAGAAGTAGGCTATCCAATAATTATCATTGAGTAGGCATACATTCTCTTTGAACATCCATCTGCTTCATTGAGAGTTCTTGTCACGTTACACATCCTATGGCTCAAATAAGTGCCCATTTTAATCTTTGCCCCTGGCTTTTTAGTAATCTTCACATAACTGGTTAAAAGAAAATTAAAGGTCAGTGTTCCTAATCGAGCTATGATTCGACCCAATGATTGCATTTTTCTCCTGATTTTTTTTTGGACATATTTTGTAGCAATGTTTATTATGGAGTACTGTGGACCATTTCCCAACTATAAACTAAATCAAACAGCTTTGTATCAAGGGACATAGCCTGGGACACTCGCATCATTGTTGCAGTAGTAAAGAAGGCCTTTTTTCATTACAGGGCACCTTCTGCTCACATGATTCAACCCAATGATTGCATTTTTATTATAAATCATCATTCAAGTTGTTTCTTTCATTATGAAAAAACACCATTACCCATAAACCCACCCGATGACGTAGTAAACCACAGACTTCAAGATGGTGCTTGAAAGTACTATGGTCTGGTAAGAAATTACAAATATGTTTTGAGTTAAATATTAAGACTGCTAACTTTATTCAAAAAACGGTCGGTAACTAAATAAGCATGTTTTGATATAGTTTGCCTGAACTGTACAGGTTTGCTTGTTTTGTTTATGATTTAAGGTGCTTAAGCTATTTCCTGAGTCACTATAACCTAGCTAACGTTAGTCAGTTGCAGCTTCCAGCACACAAAACGACTTGTTATCTACGTTATTTGACAAGTTATACTTAAAAAAACGAGAAAACAATGTAGTGTCGCTAACTCAGGTTGATGTGACGCAACTTTAAAGTAAATAGTGTGCTTCAAATTAAATAACATGGCTTTAAAGCCTTAGCATTAGCTAGCTAACAA